TATGTGTATATGTCTATTTTATTATATTAACTGTATTAATCAAAAAGTCTAGATTATACTCCAATAACAAATTTCTGAAATGTCGGTGGCTTATCACAGCAGAGGTTATTTCTGCCTCTTAGTTCATGCCAATCTCCTTAGAGGGTAATATTCCTATTATTCAGATGGAATAACTAAGGAAAAGGAATTGGTCAGTAGAGAGCGCTGGTGCAGTCACTCATGGATCCAGGTTAACCAGGAGGAATCTGCACCATTGAGAACATAAGACTATGAGGATCACCATGGCCAAGAATGAAAGGGCTTGGGGGTTTGGGGTTTGGTGTAACCCTCGGGAGTGTGGGAGATCACATAGTCATCACGGTCATTCAGACACAGATCTCTCTGCCACAGCCAGTTAACTTTAACCCGTGGAATACCGGCCACAAAAATCCAGATTTTGGCATCTCCTATAAAACCAGAAGAGCTGCCCCTTAGAAGAAAAACAGGTATCTGGTTCCCCAGGGGATCTGTTGACCAGTGTCTCTCAACTAGGGCCTCTCTAGTTCCGGAAGACTGACTTTTCTTCCCCCAAACAGCTGTTAATGCACAATCCTGGGAAATGGATTTTACTCCTTACTCCCAGTCCTGGGAAGTTTCTTGTACTCATTCAGTAGGTTCTCAACAAATGTTTATGGCCCTCCTAGGATGTAGTGGCTTGTGAAAAGGGGTGTCCAAAAATATAGCTATAAAATCACAGAACCCTTTATTAAATAAAAACTTCAAAATGTGAAGCTATTGTTTCTTAACATATATCCTCCATCTACATCTTTACACTTCTGAAGGTGGTGTTTCAATCTCTAACCACCACCCCCCTAAAGGATTCTGCACTCTTTGCTTTACACCATTTCAAAATGGCAGTCTTGGCAGCCTCAAGGGACTCTTCCATTAAAATGTTCTTTGAGTTTGGGGGTACATAAAGCAGTCTGTAGGGTAGATAGGTAAAGCTTCCCATGAAATTCTCGTAGGACAGTGTGTTAGTCCAGGTTGACTAGAGAAACAAATTCATAGACATTTAGATATGTATAAGAAAGAGCTTGATATAAAAGAGCAATTGTATATTGAGAAAAAATTCCAGTCTAGTCCAGATCAAGTTGATAAGTCCGATATTGGCCCATATGTCTGATACCAATCTATAAATTCATCTTCAGACTCACCAAACACATGCAATGACGCCGAATGCAGGAAGATCACAGGCCAGTGGGTGGAAAGTCTTGTGGATCCAGTGGCAGTAGAAGCATCTCAATGCTGGCAGGCGTCTCCCTGGGGATCCTCCAGCTCCTGGACTCTAGTGAAGCTCCATGTGTCTTATCAGCAGGAATATGAAACAGTTTGTGTGTGGCCTGCCTCCAGGGAGCTATTTATCTCCGTGGTGCCTCCAAAGGAGGTCATCAAGCTACCCCTTCATTCTTAATAGTTTCAAGTTGACACCAGAGTATGCAACTACCACAGACAGTCCTTGCTACCTAGAAAGCATGAGCAGGTTCATTATCATGTTTGGGAGAAGAAGAAGAAAAAAAGAAAAAAGTCCTTAGCACATATTCCTGGCTATGTCTCACCAGTAAAGTTTTTAATTTTCTTAAAATTGTTTTCATAACAAGCCTTTACCATCATACTGTATCCTTCAAGAAAGTCTATCAAGATTATTCCTTTGGCATCCCAAAAAACAGTTGCCACAATTTTCTGAGTTGATTTCTCTACCTTGAATTAAAGGATCCAGCATAGCCCCTTAGAAACTACTGCTTTGATTGGACCTTTTTTTTTGGAAGACACCCTGAGGAGCAAGTGTATTGCTGAGAGAACTTGTGTGGGTACAGCCATCCATTGATAACAGAGATGTTTTCACATATTTTCTATGGAATAAACCCGTGCTTGTATGAACTAGAACCCTGGTAGCAGCACTTTATTTTATTTTTATGTTTTTAACTTACGTTCTCTCATTCCAGGTGCTAGAAGTAAAGCAGCGAAACAATGTCTACCTCATGAGGCTTTTATGCTTTCACAGGGTGAATGGGAGAGCGTTGTGGGGACTTGGGAGGAGATTCCGAGGCCTGGGAAGGGCTGCTTTGGCCAGGGTTTTCTGAAGTAAGTTAACATCAAATTAGGATGGAGATTGCAGCAGTCTTGCTTGCTTAAGCAGAGAATCCACTGCTGTGGAATCAACTTCAACTCATAGTGACCCTCGATAGGATTTCTGAAGTTGTAAATCATTATGGGAATAGCCAGCCTCATCTTTCTCCAGTGGAGTGGCTTGTGAGTTTGAACTGCTATACTTATGATTAGCAGCTCAACTTGTAACACATTATGCCACCAGGTTTCCTTTGTGTAGAAAATCAAACCAAACCCAAACTCACTGCCATCCAGTCGATGTTGACTCATAGTGACCCTATGGAACAGAACAGAACCAATCTTGTGAGTTTCATGGGAGTAGAAAACTTTGTCTTTATCCCCAAGTCTTAAGAGAGGAAAAGACATAGAGTCCACTAGGGAGATAGAAGCTCAGACTGACATAATAGTGACTCAATGGTGAAATTTTTGCCATCCATGCAAAACATACAGGTTTGATTCTTGTTCATTGTATCTCATGGTTAGCTATCACCCTTCTTTAAGTGAAATGATGCCAAACAGATTTTAGCAGAGCCTCTAGACTAAGCAAACTAAGAAGAAAGGCCTGGGGTGATCTACTTCCAAAAATCAGTCAATGAAAACCATATGGGCTACAATGGCCTGATCTGCAGCTGATCCTAGGGATGGCACAGAAGAAGCCAACATTTCATCCATGTTCATGGGGTCTACTAGAAACTCTGTTCAATATCTGTTCAATATTACACAATATCCCATTGGGGCTGACTTGACGGCAGCTTAGGAGCACCTCAGGATGGCTGGGCGGCAGAAGAGGAAATGAGGAGGGCTGGGAGAAAGGCTGGCTACCGGCAAGGGAGCACACCACCTCTAGGCCTTGCTCTAATGCACTTAGTTAAAACCAAATATAATTGTGCAGTGGACCCACAGGAACAATGTAACTTAGAAACCCAGTCACATGACCTTACCCTGGACTGAAGGCAGTTTCTGCATGGAGGATGTTAGAGGAACTGGGGAGAAGAGAACCCAAGCAGGTCACTTTTACCACATGCAATTTCAGAAGCTGGGGAACGGAAACTATGTTTAATCCCTGTTGCCCTGAGGAGAAGCATGTAGAGGCCTCCAGCTCCTGGGCCCCTGGTTCTCCTTTGCCCCACTCCATGTGTCTGAGAAGTGGGGCCTTGTTGCTGACTTCATTGGGGATCTCTCTGTAGGAGGACAGTCTCTCTCCCAAACATAGAATGTCTTTCTCTGGAGTAAAGCAGACAGGCAGATAATTATCGACTGGTTCTGAATGTGCTCCACCCTAAAGCCATGACCCTTTTCCAGGCCAACCATAGTTTCCTGAATAAAGTGCTCATTCCTTTCTGAAGACAACATAAGACACATTGTGTTTATGAATGCCATGGAGTGAGCAGAGAAAAGCCGAGGCAGGGCTGAATCAGGGCCCAGGGGATATAGCATAGGCTACCCTGAGAACTTTAAAAAGGACAGCAGTCAGGCCTGACCTTGAGCCGCATAGTAAAAATTGCACACAAAGATTGGAAAGGTGTGACAGAGTGGGGTTTATGAGACTAGTTTCGGGGTTTTGTGAAGGAATGGCTCAGTGTGACCACATTTGCCCTGACTGTATGTATGTTGGCTGTGACATCTGAGTGCTAATTAATCCTAGCCGCAACTTGGAAGATAGGTATTAAATGTAAGGTCAGGACTAGAGAATGAATGTGTGTGCATGTATGCGTATGTGTGTTCATAGGCATGTCTGCATATGTGTGTGATTTGTGTGTCCATGTATTTGTGGCTCCATGTGCATTTGCCTAGTATGTGTATACATGTATGCATCTATGGGTGCATGCCTGTGTGGTGTGTGAGAGTATTTGTATATGTATATTATGTATATGTGTGTTCATTTGTATGTGTGCATATGTATATACATATGTGCATGTATGTGTTTGCATATGTGAGTAATACTTCAGCTCACTGCCCAGCCTTTAGAAGGCCCAGCTAAAAGAGTGTTCCAACAGAATAATGTGGAGACAGAGGTGCTACTAACAGGATTTACCTTCGATGAAATAAACCCAGGAAGGCCTGACAAGTTCTCAAGCTTTCCAAGGTTGTGGATGGGGAAAGACAGAAACGATTTGGCGTGTGGATTCACTAACAACCTTATAGAAGAGTGATCACTGCATTGTATAGATGAGGAAACAAAGGTTTAAAATCCTTTGTCTGATATCAGTATAGAAAAGAGCCTAAGAAACCAAAATCAAGGGTCTTGAGTTTGAATAGTGTCTTTGGTGCTTACTAGTATATTCTTGCGTGAAGAACTTAACCTGTCCTCCCTGTTTTAACATCCATAAAAGGGGAATATAATGTTGACCTCATAATGTTACAAGGACTGAAGATAAGTCATGGAAAATATTCAATATAAGTGTCTCATGAGTGAGTACTCTGTGCTGATGTCCCATGTGGAAAGCTCACTCTAGAGCCAGGGCTGGTGCCACCGCACGCGACTCACTGGGGTAGAATTGTAGATTGAGGCCAGTGGTTTGGCAAGACTGGTGGAAGAGCACTGAAGTAGAAAACCATTGTTACTGTTGTCCCGGCAGGAGGGAAACAAGTACGTGTGTGTTGGGGGAGGTGGGCGGAGTCTGCCCTGTAGAGGGACTAGTTGAAATTCCTGGATATTATGGAGGGCTTGGAGTGGAATTTGGTAGGGCAGGTGATGCCCTTGACAACAGTTTGGACCTGACTCCAGGACGGGTGCTTGGCTGTCACTTGACTTAGTGTAGCCTGAGCCTCTCAGTCACATTTGTCCTGCGGCCTCCACATCAGATCTCTGGGCCCTGAGGATTTGGTGTAACTTCTGTGTAATTTCCTGGCAGGTAACTTGCAAGTCTACAGACAAGAGAAGAAGATGAAGGAAGATTTTCCACCCAATTTCCATGTGCCTATCAGCAACAGCAAGTCTATTCTCAAGTAAGCCTTTGTGTGCAGGAGGGGCAGTACGTCTTCCATCTCCTTTGACACAGCCCCTTAGCGTCAAGGTGATCCTGGTGGTATTCCTTAGCATTCTTTGGCTTGCACTACCGTCATTATCATGTGGATGGCCCCCTTCTAATCCATTTCTCTTGAGGTTCTCCTTTCTTATGATGACACTAGTCATGGACAGTGTGACACCCACACTGAGAAGCTACATCTACCACTACAGGAAGTGATATGGGAATAAAAGCAAAAGTCTTCAAAATGCTAGCTCCTTGCTCGCTTTGACCTTGATCCAGACCTAGGATATATAGTCACTGGTTGATGATCTGTAATCGTGAAAGGATGGAAACACTCAAATATGCAAATAAGGTCTATGGTGTGAATCTTAGTTCTTTCTATGCTCAACCTCATGTCTTTTAGAAGGGCGTCTCTAAGACTCAAAGGCACAGGTCATGATGGCTTTGTCTGATTATGCATGGCTGAGGAAATTATGCTCATTTTACAAATAAGGAAACTGAGGTCAATGAGGCAAAATGACTTGTCTAGGACTTTGGCCACTCCAAAAGTATCTGATGTTTTCCTCTTTTTAGGTCAGAGCTGTTAAACTTGCTAAAAACCTACAACTGCTACCATGAGGGGGGAAGCTTCCAACTGAGACATAGAGAGGTAATTCTATTTTAATCTTTTATTCATTAAATCACCTTTTATCCTAGTTTGTTAAGGGCAGTCATGATTTAAACCTGTTGTTTCAAAAAACAAAACCAAACCTGTTGTTTCCAGATATGCATTTATACCACCTCCTCTACTTATAGAATTGTTTCAGTTTGAAGAATAACATATGTTCATCCTAGTCATTGCCTCCCGGGCCAAGGACCAGGTTACCAGTGGCTGGGATTCATCCCTTGGTCTCCATGTAAATGGAGCTGAGAACCAGAACCTCCTTGTGAGAGTTCAGAGCAAGTTAGAAATCACCTTGTTTTCTATCCAGGACTTTTGTCTTAATGAATTTCTGGGACAGCAGAGTGTGAAGCTCAGAGATAGCTGACCAAAGGACTGTGGCTTATCTGAGATGACAGAGTGATGGAGGAATGAAGGCAGGGTTCCCTGGCTGGCCAATCTGAATACATTTCAGAAGAAAGCCTTCAAAGGGAGGAAAAGTTCCCTAAAGAGGCCCTTTGGATGCCGTACAGTTGCTCCCACATAATTTGGCAGGGCCCAAGACCACCCCCCACCCCCCACCCCACCTTTGGTATCACTGTGGCTCTAGCCCCCACACTTTTCTGAGCCAAGTACTGTTTTAGAGGAATCTAGCAGGAGTACAGGGTTTCACTTCATTGGCCTCTTCTGCCTACAAGGCAGGACTCTTAGAGGCAAAGTCTACAGAGCAAATGACTTAAGAAACCAGACTTGAGACCGGGGCCAAGGCATCTGGTGAGCCCCATCATGCTGAGTGCCACACTTTGTGCTTTTTGTAGTATCTTTAAACTTTTTCCAGCCCATTCCATCTCATCACCTCTTCCTAATACTTTATCAGTCAGGATGACCAGCGCACAGCGCAGGACGCCATGAACAATTTTCTATGGAAAATTACTTTCCACTATTTAGATAGAATTTGGAAGTCCCTCTCCCTGTGCAGCGGTTCCAGTGGTTCCGCTGTCCCTTCTGACTGGATGTTTGTTGGCTCCCAGATCATGCTCTTCCGTTTTTTAAACTAGTCATTTTGGACAACTGGACCCCTTCCCTAAACCAAGACTTCTACCCACTACTCCTCAGTCTATCCTTGGAAGTAGCCTTGGTAGGCCAGGCCAGCAAGTCACGGTGTTCCAGGAGCTCTGATCAGGTGGGCCTGCATGAGAAGGAAATTTCTGACCCATAATCCATGTAGTACTGGGCTGCCTATGACAAGATGGCAACCTTGAATCGGAAAACGGCATACCCTTCCTCCCCCTTATCCCACCCCACCCCACACAGTACATTGGCTAGAGCCACAAGGACTTCTTCTTTGTCCTCTCCATGTTGCCTCATGTTGACATCAGATGGATCTTGGCTGAAAGTCAACAGTACTAAAATATGTCTTCTTGTGTTTTGTTGACTATACAAAGGCATATGACTATGTGGTTCATAGCAATTGAAAAGAATGGGAATTCCCAGACACTTCCATGTGCTCCTGCAGAACTTGTATGAAGAGACAGTTATTCAAAGAGAAAAAGGTCATACTTGTTGTTGTTGTTGTTGTTAGGTGCCGTTGAGTCTGTTCTGTCTCTTGGCAACCCTCTTCACAACAGAATGAAACACTTGCTGGTCTTGTGTCATCCTCACAATTGTTGCCATGTTTGAGCCCATTATTGCAGCCGTTGTGCCAACCCACCTCATCGAGAGCCTTCCTCTTTTTTGCTAACCCTCCATTTTACTATGCTTTATGCCTGTCTCCAGGGACTGGTCTCTCCTGACAACATGTCCAAAGTATGTGAGATGAAGTCTCTCCATCCTTGCCTATAAGGAGCATCCTGGCTGTACTTCATCTAAGATGGATCTGTTTATTCTTGCAGTCCATGGTGTTTTCAATATTCTTAGATTTTTCTTTGGTCTTCCTTATTCAGTGTCCAACTTTCACATGCATATGAGGTGATTGAAAATACCAAACCATTTGGAAAAATTTTTTTAAAAGAAGCAATATAGAAATATCTTAAATAATAGCTTTATTGTCTTGTCAGCTATTATTAAATATTTTTCCTT